CACTCAGACTATCAGAGCAGTAGTGTGTTATTTAAGATGTGATTAGTGTTTTAATGATGATTGAAAATGGAAATGAAGACAGAAAAATAGAGACAATAAGACGGTGGGCAAATTGATGTGCCTGCTCTGGGGTTTTATTTAGCGGGTGTTTGTTTATTAATTTTTTTAATTCATACTCAAAATTTTTATTGCTTATATATGAAATTTATAATTATACTTTGTGTAAATTCGCAACTTAACCAAATTCGGCATGCTTAAAAATCGAATGTGAGAACATAAAGTAGTAAATATCACAGTTAGGACTTTATATTCACGTGAAAATTTGACAAACAAATATGAAAATTAAACAAAAAGTTGGCATACAATATTCCACTATCGCCTCACACTGATATGATTTTGAAATTTTACCATAACAATATTTCTTGTGAATCACTATGTTTGACTTTAGGGAGTGACAAAAGTAATAATAAAAATTCACGTATTGGATATTTTTTTTTTAAACGATCACTATAAATAAACTAACACATAATTATAAAAATGGAAACGAATATTTATGTTATTCTTAAATATTATTCTTCGTTATATCTTCATAAATTATATATATGCGAATATAAAAATTAATGTCGTTAGGTTGTCTAATAAAGGTTATATTTTTTTTTTACAAAAAATACTGACACATAATATGAATATCATACATTTATTTATATTAATTTTTATATATGACATTTGAGTATAAAATATGTATATCTTTTGAAAAAGTATTATTTCCTCACATTAATAGTTAGTTTTATTCTAAAGCTATTGTGGCATACCAATGTAGTTAATATTTTTTTTATATCAATTGATAGTACAGTTTTACAGTAAGAGTATATTTTTCCTCTTTGTCAATCTTGTAATTATTGATAAATAGTTAAGATTTGATAAATTGTAGTTTTACAAATACAAAGTCTGATAAAAGTATTTTTTTTTTCTTTTTTATTTATTTATATTACAATATAACTAAAAGAAATATTTTTCTTTTTTGCAACTACAGTTACTGCTTTGGAGTTTGCAAAGTCCCATATTTGTACATGCAAATTCGTGTAATTTTGTTCCGAAATTTCTAAAACCTTACACATTGTCCTAAATCGAGAGAAATCCTTAACCTAACCAAGAAAGGATTGAGAACAATTCCCACAGCAAATTTTCAATTCACACCTTAAACCCTTGTATTATATAAATCGCACCCCACAAAGCATATTGTACATTTTTTCCAAATTCATAGAAAACCCCCCTATACTTTACCTTAACGTCTCTCAAGCCCCTCTAAATAAGGGTTTTTCTCTCTCTTCACCACCTTACATAAGAGACTGTACACTCCACTCTCATCTTCTCTCCTCCCTGAGAGAGGAAACACAAATTTCTCTCTAGAAATCTGTAACCCTTTGCCCTTCTCCCCTTCTTTATCTCTATCTTCTACGTATATAAATACGACAAGTAAAAAGATAGCAAATATATATATATATATATTTGTTATATATTGATCACTTTTAGGTTTCCTTTGAGAAAAGCTTTGTGTGTTGAGATTGGACGGCGCAGAGTTTTCCGATTTGCGAGTTATGCAGGCTGATCAGACAGTGTTGAGCTTGAGACCAGGTGGCGGCGCGCGCGGCGGTAGAGTGATCGGCCCTCGATTTGATTCTCCATCGGCGAATTCCGATCTCCCCCTGCTGCGTCCTCATGGCGGTGCCACTGTATCTTCTCTCCCTTCTTTCAAGGTTGTTGTTTTAAAAGGGGTTCTTTTCAGATCTAGGGTTTTAGGTCTGTTGTGGATTGATTGAGTTGAAAAGTTGTTTGCTTTCTTTGTTCTTTTTTTGATTTCCTGACTTCTGTTAATGGCAGCTGTTGTGAGAGATTTGGTCCTGTGATTGTGAATTAATGTTGTATTGTGCTCGTTTGTTTCATTTTAATTTCAGTCAAATTCAATGTAGACTATTTCTCTGCCAAATTTAGTCACAAACGTATTTTTTTTACCCACCCCCAAGATGGTGTATCTATATTTTAAATCTGATGGGAAAATTTGAAGATTTGAAACTATGTATTAGATGGAGATTTTGTTGGAATTTGGATTCATATTTCTTGTTGTTGAGAATTGGAACTAGTTTTTTTTGGTGGAAAAAGCATATGTCATTGAAGTCCTTTTCCGAGCTTTAAAGGACATGAGCAAATTGATTATAGATTCTGTTTCTTTGAACTATTACCATCTCAGTCCTCAGTAGTGTCTCTATCCATGCGAACTTTGATTGAGTTTGTAATCGTCCTAATTCTTGGTAGTGCACTTAAGATGTGTAGTTGCTGTAAATATGGACGTACAGTATTATGTAGGCTTTAGGTGGGCATGCTAGGAGTACCAGGATGTCCATAAAGAAACCTTCGGATATGGAAAATCGAGTAATAGCCTACAAGGCTGCAACTATGATTTTCTAGATTAATGTGCTTCAGCAATGTTTTATTTATGATTCACCTCATGTAATGCCATGCTTTCACATCATGTGAAATGTGTCAATGTCTGTTTGTATATACTTCAGCTGAATGACAATTGAGTTATTGTCACTGTACTAAATATCGGCCTAGGCAGCCGCCTATCCCGGACGCCTCCGATTTGCGTGAATCGGCTGAAAATAATCGACCAGGTGGCTAGGCGGGCTCGGCGACAATGTTTCAGTTTTTTTAGTTAAATTCTAATTACATTATTTCGCTATCATGTTTTCTTTATAATATATCAATATTATTATTTGGACTTAGGTGTGTGGATTTATTGTAAATTGAGATAGTCAAAAAAGGTAGTGAAAATAAATAGAAAATAAGGTATTTAATCTTAATTTCTTCTAGGCGCTGGTCGAGTGCCTAGCGGGCGCCTAACGACTTCTAAAACACTGGTTATTGTGACCTTTATTGTCACTTTAGTGTTTGTACATATGTGCATGCTAGTGCATGATACTCTGAACAGTAAATTGACATCTTTATTGTTGAATGTTTTGTTTCGAGCGATGACATTTGTCTTAATAATAATACCTTTTCTTATCTTATGTGTAGAGTTTGTTCCACATATGTTTGTCTGTTATAGGGATGCTTATTCACATGTTGTCATTCAATTGATCCTTGTACCTTCTGCACCTGATTCTGTAAATTTTTATTTTTCTTGATTGTGGGAAGTATGATGCTTCATTATCTGTCATTTGTCTCTAATATTTATTGCAACTTTTATTTCATTGATGACAGACTGGAGAGTCTAGGTTTGATGGCCATGAACGTATCCGCTATTCTAGAGACCAGCTGATGCAGTTAAGGGAGGTGAGGGTTATTTCAGTTATCTGTATGTGTACTGGCACGAAGCTCGTCATTTACGAGACTTATCCAATAAATGTGGCTGATATCTCATATGAGGCTTTTCACATTTATTGTAGCTTAAAGCCGAGTCTTTCATTTCATTTCTAGTGTGGTTGTTTGCGACTTTTTACATTACATTTATGATTCAATCACTTTTTCCTTTTTTCTCATATAAGCGCACGTTTCATTCTCACATGCAAATGAATTTAACTATTCTTCTAAAGTTCTGCTAGGCGCCTTCTTGGATGTTGAGTATGATGGTCCCCTTAAAATTCTGGAACTTTCTTGTAGGCTGTTAGCATCCCTGACGATATTCGTAAAGTGAAACAAGAAGTTGAAGTTGAATTTTTTGGTTCGGATCCTAGCTGGAGTCGTGGAGACAATAATGTAAGTTACATTGTTTGTTTTATACTGTAATTGCTCTCTCAAATTCTTACAAAGTCCACTTTCAAATATAGATTTACATTTGTTTCCATGCTTTTATCTTTTTTAATTGCTTCGAAATTTGATTTGTTCTGGTGATAATTTTGTAAAGTAAATTTTATTTTGTAGCCCCCTACTCAATCCCAGAGTCGTTATACTGAACCGGACAACGGTGACTGGCGTAATCGATCTGCACAATTTCCTGCCTCGACAGAGGAGAGGTCATGGGAGGCAATAAGGGACAGAGACTTTGGTGGGCGATTTGACCCTAGGCAACAGGATGCAAATCAATTCAATAAGCAAGACCAATTCAACTCTCAGTTTTCAAGAGCTCAAATCTCGTCCAACCAAGGGGTAATTTTTTCCGATTAAATTGTTCTGGTTTTCTACTCTTCTGGTGCTGATGATTAATGTAATGGAATATAACTTGCAAAAGTCATTATATTGTTAAATGTAGCTTCCTAGTGTGTATATGTGGGTAAGTTTGTCAAAAGGACTGTGTTAATTGCATGGGAATAAGGTCGCTGCAATGCCTTACTAACCTCTGATCTTGATTATGTGTGTGTGCAGACATGGTAATATTGAGAATTTCGGAAAATTTTACCATATTATTTGCATAACCAAACTTAACTTTATTCAATACTTTTACCATTCCCTATATATTGTTAATGAAACAGGCGGGAAATGCTGCTCTAATAAAAGCTGATGTACCATGGTCCGCTCGAAGGGGAACTCTGTCCGACGAGGACCGTGTTTTAAAGACAGTAAAGGGGTAATCCTTCTTTCATTTGCTGTGTAACATTTTCTTAGTCCCTTTAGTTCCCATAGAGCCTTGTTTTTTTTTTTTTTATTTCTTACATCACATGCATGCATAATATTGATAGTTCATGTCCTGTCACACACTCATCTGATTTTGACTTACTTTTTCATCAATCTCACTGAAATTTACACAAAAAATTTAAAAAGGTTTAAACTGATGATCTTTTGATAACTGTTTGAGACACCCTTTATTGGTTCAAATGCATTATTCATGAGGTCCATGACTTTGTTCGTAATGAACTTGGTGCTGAACATTTTATGTTTCTTGCAGCATACTGAATAAGCTTACTCCTGAGAAATTTGATGTTCTAAAGGGCCAATTGATCGACTCTGGAATAACATCAGCAGATATTTTGAAGGTACAGTAGGTCAAAACTTGAGACATTTTGTAACTTCCCGGATAAATCATTCGATATTCTTTTTATCTTCTCTTCAGGGAGTTATCTCCTTGATATTTGACAAGGCTGTCCTGGAGCCAACCTTCTGTCCAATGTATGCCCTGCTGTGCTCGGACCTTAACGAAAAGCTTCCTCCCTTCCCATCAGATGAGCCCGGCGGAAAAGAAATTACATTTAAACGTGTTCTCTTGAACAACTGCCAAGAGGCTTTTGAAGGTGCTGATAAATTGAGGGAAGAGGTCAGGCAGATGACTGCCCCCGCGCAGGAGCAGGAACGAAGGGATAAAGACCGTTTGGTCAAACTCCGCACACTTGGGAATATCCGCTTGATTGGAGAACTTCTTAAGCAGAAGATGGTTCCGGAAAAGATCGTTCATCATATTGTTCAGGTTTTTTAATTTTCTGATTATTTAAGTTTTTCTGGAGTTTTCTTGGTTTGATTTTTTTTACTAACTGCTTCAACGTATGGATTTCCCCCGAGCAGGAACTATTGGGACAAGACACTAAGATCTGCCCGGCCGAAGAAAACGTGGAGGCCATCTGCCAATTCTTTGTCACCATCGGCAAACAGCTCGACGAGAACAAAAAATCCAAGCGCATCAATGACATTTACTTCAACCGTTTGAGAGATTTGTCGACAAACCCTCAACTCGTCGCCCGGTTGAGATTCATGGTCCGAGATGTCCTCGACCTTCGCTCCAATAACTGGGTCCCCAGACGTGAGGAGGTAATAAACAAAATCACAACTCCCCTTTCTTTTTTTACCCAAGCCATCCCTTTTGAACAATTTTACGAATTTTTCTTCCAATTTTTATTTTTTATTTTTTTTTTCAGGTGAAAGCTAAAACCATTACTGAGATTCACTCGGAGGCTGAGAAGAATCTCGGGCTACGACCTGGCGCTACAGCTGTCATCCGCAACAGCCGAACCATCTCCTCTGGTGGGCCCGGCAACTTCAGCCCCGTTGGCTTCCCGATGAACCGAGCTGGCCTGGGTGGCATGATGCCCGGAATGCCTGGCTTGGACAATGACAGCTGGCAAGTCCCCCGCTCTCGATCAATGCCCAGACCTCCGGCCGCCAACTCCCAGACATCTGGCCGGATTCAGTCACCACTCGTCGGAAAATCCCCCGCCGGTGGCCCATTTAGACCGGCAGCTCCGGCGCCGGTGGCTGAAAAGTCGAACCCTAAGGAGCTCAAGAAGAAAACAGTCTCGCTTCTCGAGGAGTATTTTAGCGTGAGGCTTCTAGATGAGGCCTTGCAGTGTGTTGAGGAGTTAAAGTCCACGGCTTATCATCCGGAAGTAGTGAAGGAGGCGATATTAATCGGGCTGGAAAAAAGCCCGCCACTTGTCAAGCAAGTGGTGGAACTCGTCGAGTATTTGCTCAAGAAGAAGGTGATTAATTCGAGCGATGTTGCTAATGGATGCCAGCTGTATGCAGCCTCGCTCGACGACATTGCAATCGATTTGCCGAAAGCGCCGGGCAATTTTGGCGAGATTGTTGGGAATCTGGTTTTGGCTGGAGGATTGGAGTTTAAGGATGTGAGGGAGATTTTGGGGAAAGTGGGTGATGATTATTATCGGAAGGCGATATTTGATGCGGCTGTGAAGATTGTTGGGAAGGAGATGCTCGACTTGCAGGCGAGTCTGTTTTAGGATTACGGTCTTCTCGTGTGGCTCGGTTAGAAAATTCGTGAATCGAACGCGAAATATTTATACGTGTTTTGGATTCGTTTTAATGCTTTGTCGGCTGCTGTATATTTTTTTTGGTTCTTTCAGGTGTCATAGTTCAATGTGTTCTCCATTAGAGAGTAAGAAGACAGCTATTTACCACACATAAGAAAGATTTTGGTTCTGAAAGGTCCCTTTGTTGAGGGCCGGGTTGTTTTGTATTTTATTAGTTTTTGATTTTTTTTTTTTTTATTTATTTTTTGCCTTGTATCACTTTGATTAAATTTTGGTTAAATTTGTGAGCCGTAATTTGCAACTGAGCGACAGTTCTGAAGAGAAGAATGTTATGGGGTATTGTTGTTTCTGCTTTGTATATAGTGAAGTTGGCTTCATTATATAATATAGTTTATATCCTAACAATANTTTACTTTGCAACATAAAATATTTTTTTCAACCTGAACTACTTTATGAGCATTCATAATTTGCAATCTCTCTCGTGCATATTGATCATATAATCATCCACAAAAAAACACATGTGCTTGGAAAGAAGTGTATATTTATTTTCTTCCTTTTGGTTTTGGAGAAAATCAAATAAAAATGGAAGAACTAATGATTGAAACAAGGAAAGAGGGAAAGCAAGGAAAGTTGTACTAAAAAAATTGGAAAACTTGAAAAGAGACAAAAAACACAGCTCCTGCGAAGTGAATTTATTATTAATGGAGAATAAATGAAAAAAAAAATGGAAGAATTTGGAGGGAGCTAAGGATTTATAGGTTGAAAATATTCATCATCTTCAGATTGGCTGCCTCTAACAACAATGGCATAGACAGCATAGATAATCCCAGGAATATAGCCCAATAGTGTCAGCAGAACACATATGAGAAATTCACACTGAAAATTAAAATAAAATAAAATAATATAAAATAAACAGATGAAAGCAATCATTATCCACACTACAATGGTATATAGCCTAATTACAAAGTGTAAAAAAATTACATTTTTTCTTTCCAGAAAATGGTTATCTTATTATTTCCTAGGGGAGCAATAGAGAAAATACAAATTTTGAGAAAATCTAAGCGTTAGTTGGATCGATTTATCATATTTCTGTTACAAAAATGTGTATTTATATTATGACATGTGATATTTTTATTTATGTTGTTTGTTATAATACAACATTTCAGTTTGAAAAAATATGATTGTCTAACAATTAAGAATGCCTAAAAAATGCGAACTTAATGTTGGGTATCAAAAATTCAAAATCGCTACCGTTATACACATCAAGTCATGTTTAAAATTAATAACACACAAATTTATACAACATTTTATGTAAAATAAAATTATGCATTCAGTATAATTTTTCTAATAAAAAAAACCCCAACAAATGAGGTGAATTTGGAGTTGGAGAGGACAAATACACTGCAGCAGCCATTTCTAAAGAAGACTCCAAGTGGTGGAATAAGTATTGCCATAAGAATTTCCAAGAACATCTCACAGCTTGACGCCATTTTTATTCAGATTCAACACTCTTATTTGTAGTAATGTTCAAGGATGAGAAATAATAAGCAATTAAGTATAGTTGGCTGGTTGATATATGATGATCTATTAAGTTTATTTATTTTTTGCTAATATATGCTAGTTTTGGCATAAATAGCTAGTTATTAGGAGACAAATGTCACAAGTCCTGAGGATTGATCCCAATAATAGGATCTCCATAGTGAAATGTGGACAGGATCTTACAAGAACTACTTAACAAGTTAACATGGATTAATCTCGGAACTTGTTAAAAAGAAAGAATGAATGAATGTGCGATTGAGTCAAAATAATCTCGGAAAAACGAACAATCGATTGAATCAGAATAATCTCGAAAAAACGAACAACAGAGAATGTACGAGTCACTCCAAAAAGAAAAAAAGTTGGGAAAAAAAAAGTTGGACCATTTCTCGATTTATGCGTGTCATCCTTGCGCAGGGACCATGCTAATCTTCTCTGTATCGTTCCAATTTTAACGGATGCCACCAAAGTGGCAAATAATAATGTAGAGTCAGTCTAATATTAAGACATAGAAATTTGTGTGTGTTTTTGATGCGGGACGACAGAAGAGCTTTTACATATATGGGCCGATGGACTTCTCTACTGTATTTATAAGAGGAATTTGCACCACGTGCAGCAACATTTGATTTATATAACAATTTTACACTTGATTCAATATTATTTGTAAAAGTGCTGAATCAACACAAAATAATTACACATATATCAGAGTTTAGATTTTAGTAAAACTATCTATTAATTAAGGTATAGATTATCTCCTCTAAACCTGCCCATTATTTTTGTCAAAACATTCCATTCACACACCACCACCACCATAGTTAGATTAGCCATGGAGTTCCAAAGCTTTCACTCTCCTCTCATTCTAGTTTTTTTTTTCCCCAGTTCTTATATTTTTATGTTCATTTCATGGTGGATTTCGTATCGATTCGCATTTGATTCGAATTTACAAGAAAATTCTCCCTTATTTGTTTTGAACATTTTTTTCTTCTTCGGGGTAGGCGTGGGGCAAGGTACATGGTCCCCCAGCAATGGCATCAGGTCGACAGCAGTGTTCGGGTGTATTTTAGATGGGGCTTTTCGCTGATGGAAGGCATCGACTCGCACCATTCTTCCCGACCGAGCTCGGGCCGTGGTCCCGAAGTGAGCACCATTTTGAGGCTATAAACGAGTAAAACGGTTGAACTCTGGGCGAGAAAGGGCCAGATGGAGAAATACAAGTGAAAGGTATGGGTGTGGGGTTGAAACTGAAGACGAGTCGTTTGAGTTCGGGGAAACCGGGACACAGAGTCTCAATGGCTTCAGTTCTAAAACTCTAGATTTGTCGATTGGGCTTGGTGAAGGATTTGGCTGAGAACCTAATCCTTGAACCATTTTTTAGTGTATGTATAGTATATTTACAATATATGTACAATATATATTCACGGTAGTATATGTTGCGTTTATAGGCATACAATATACGTTCACAGCAATATATGTTGCGTGTATAGGCAGTCAGTATATGTGGTGTGTATGGGGAGTATATATTCAATATATTAGAAGATTTTTTTGTAAGGTAGTATATGTGATGTGTATAGTAAATATATGTTCAGTATATTAGAAGGATTTTTTGTAAACGGTTTAGTATATGTTGTGTGTATATATTAGAGGATTTTTTTTTATATGAAATATAAGTAACATGTTATAATATGTTTATAAACTATATATATACTTTTATGTATAAAAGTAAAAAAAAAAAAAAAAAAAAGACATAATTTTTTATGGAATACATGTTTTTCATTGTAACATATACTGAATATATACTAACATATACCTACCTGGACAGCTACGTGAATTACATTACATGTTTTTATCTCTCTATTAAAAACGTGAATGAATTAAAGGAGTTAGTTAAATGTAACTGAATTTTAGGTAACTGCATTTTGTTTGGAAACGATGGAAATCATGAGCCCACATTTTAGGTAACTGATTTTTAGGTATTAATGTAATTTATTCTTGACAATTAGGTAGAAACACAATTACTTATTTATGAATGGTAAATTTACAAAATTTCCAATTTCATATAGGATAAGTAAAAATTTCCCTTTCAAAATATAATAAAGAGCTAATGGACTTTATGGACTTTCATTTTCAGCCCATTATATTGTTTGGGAATCTCACATTGTGTACTGAGTTAGGACACGATTATTTATATTTATTGTTCCCCCCAAAAAAAAAAAAATGTACCCTTCTATAAAAAAAGAAAAAAAATATGTAGCCTGCTTGAAAATGATTCTATAACATTACTATCATAAAATAATTGACAAAATAAAAATGCTAACGAGTCACACTAAACTGTGGTAATGGTAAGAGTCAATCTCAAGAAGACTAATTAACCAAAATTCCCCGCATGTTCGGTGTTCGTTAACACTACAATATGCCTAGCTTTTCTTATCTATTATAGTTTCTTACATATAACTTTCCTCGTGACCTATGAATAGTATTAGGTTTGTAGAGTTTAATTTCAAACGCTTTTATGATTTCCAGCATGAGATGATCGCAACATATGATTTCATTGTTTAATTTTATTTACATATTTTTTGGTATGAGTCGTCTCAACCGTTGAGCGCAACAACACCTAATATTTTTTAAATAAAGTAAAAAAAAATTAAATATTCATGCTGTAAAAATATCATATTTTTAATTATTTTGTATTTTTAAGAGTGTGATGTTTCAATTCTAAATTACGTACATCTGCTGAAAAAGTACAATTGTCTAAACGTTATTGTTGCCATTATTATTATCATTATCATTACTATGGTGCTCATTTAAGTCACTAAATCAACAGAGTTAGTTGTGTGTAGTTGTGGATTCTTGTGACTTTTATGGCTACTCTGGGTCTGACTTTCACATATATGATAATGATAAAAACTAAAAAGAGTGAATAAATAGTACTCCCTCCATTTTGAAATATAAGGCATTTAAGGTTATTGCACAAATATTAAGGAGACATTAATTAATGAATAAATTGACTAAATTAACCTTATTTACTCTAATCACAACCACTCCACACTTCCTTAATTTCAACACAATGAGGGTATATTTGGAAAAAAATGTAAAAATTTGTCTTGATTTTTGAGCGCGCCTTATATTTCAAAAAAAATGAGAAATCTTTATACGCCTTATATTTCAAAATGGAGGGAGTAATATAATGGACTTGCTGCCACCTATATTAATATACCTTCATAAATTTTCATTGTCATTGAAGATTTGGAGGGCCAATTGTAGTTGGCCAACTAAGTTAGGTTCATAGGAAGAAAATAGTAGGATAAATTATATATATATATGGACAAATTAAGTCAGTGTATCATTTTCGTCTAATAGGTGAAATTAACTTCAATCCCCTAACATCTGCAACACTACACAGTGTAACAGTGAACTCTCCATTCTTTCATTTATGGAAGTTTAGCAAAATAAGTTCTTCCCTTATACAAGTACACTTTGTTGGTAGTAAAATTTTGTAAATAACATAAACAACAGTATGACAAAATTTAAAGAGTTTTGCAACGAACACCCATTGTTATCCAAGTTCAATCAAAAATTAATAAATTCCGCTTTTAGAAACATATTATAATAGCAATTCCAAGCTCAAATGTAAAATTACATTTGTTTTTTGAATTTTGTAGACGAACTACCTTTCATATACTATTATGAATGTCCCAAAACCCGTTCTATATACGTTCCAAATCAGTATATATCTCGTAATATTACACAGAATGACGATAAATAATATTGAAATTCACAAACTCAAACTTAAAAACAAGTAAACCTATATAACAAAGTCAAGACGTGTAATTCATACTTTCCTTTTGTATCGATTAATGCCTATGGTTACTGGGAACGAAAGTATACTTGCATATAACTGTCGATCGGGACTCGTCGATGGCAGCGACGACCTCAAAGCTAACTGGTGCTCGACAGTGCTCGTTTACATGTTTTCGACGCTAACTGTTGATATGGCTCATATATTGACAATGGAAGGAGGCAGGCCGTTTCACAACACTAACCAACTTTGAGCTACTTAAACATAATTTTAAGTCAGAAAAAACTCATTCTCCTATATACACAACTTGAAATTAATTTCTTGTTTACCTTAACATTATTTGAATTAATTAAATTTATGTTTAAGCGATAAATCGTACTTAACCAATCTTATAATAAATTCACTGAATTCTAGTGTACTTTAAATCATTATTTTTTTTAAATAAGCTAAATTTAAATTATTTCCAAACACATAAACCACATCTTATTAGCCAACTTTGTTAATAAATTAATTGGGCACTTTATTTATTGGATCAACTTATGTAAAACTACTAGTCTGCCCTCAACATCAAACTCTTGATTGGTTGGATAAAGTTTTTGCAGTGGAAAAAAAGAAAAGAAAAAAAAACTAACAAGTCTAGATTAGAAGGGTAAAATTGTAATTCAGAAAAACAAAGCCTAAAAACAAGGTACTACTACTACGAAGTACCAACCTGCGAAAGAAAAACACATCTCTCTCTTCTCTCTCCCCCGTTACTTATTTCATCCTTCCTCTCTCTACCCATGTTTCTTTTTATTTATTTTTTTATTTTTTGCCTTTTTTCAGCACACACTCATCCGTCATCAATCTCGTGCAAAATAGAAAACCACTCTCTAGAAAGTAAAATAGCAAAAAAGAGAGATTTTTTTTTTTCGGGGGGAAAGAACACATCAAGACTCCACCTTTAACTCTCCTCACACAAGATTAAGACGTGTATCTATCCATCTATACTATTCCCACACTCAGCAGATTGAAACTTGAAAGGAAAATACAAAAGCCCCACTCTATCTAGAATGTAAAATA